ATTTAATCAGGTAACTTAAGGCAGCCCATTAGATCTGGAACTCTACTGCCGTGTTCTCGCAGCTCGCTTTCCTCTGAATCACAACCAACGCGGCTCGGCGCCCCATCCCATCCAACCACTACGTACACCCTCACACCTTCCTTGCCCCGAACCTTACCTCAAAACCGACGTAGCCCTGCTTTTTCCGCCGTATGCCCTAAACAGCCTTCACCCCCAAATCCGCTAAGGTTCAACCAAGGCTCTCGTTTCAAGGGCGTCAACAACAGAAACAGACCAGTCCTCTACCCTGCTGGCTGATTCGTAACGGTTCCAACAACCTCAGAAGCAACATCTCAAGTTGCCGTTTCCTCCTCACCTGCTCCTTTTGCTTCGGAGCATGCGCAAGACCTGCATGTCCACATAATCCAATCCAAGCACAGCCTGCATAAGCATCTGAATATCAACGCTCTTGCCACTGCCTCGAAGAGCCACCTAGATCGACACCTCATTCAAAGATGTACTTACGGTCTTTACCTAGGTTTACAGGTCACGCCAGATTCCTCATACATGCCACAACTGTCAGCCACCTTTGAGCCCCGCCATAGTGGAAAAATGCCCAGATAGAGATATTAAAGACGCATTAAAGACGATCGGCCTATTCTCCAGTCCACCGTTCCCTATATTCGGAATCAATCCAACCCATGTCGCTCCACGTCCATGACATGACATACGACGCATGCAAATCATGGCACCAGTTCCTCCCACCACGTAATAGCATTTTATTCTTTTACGACAACCACACCACTAAGCTGGAACACGTCCAGCTATCCACAGATGCAGGACCTTCCACCGAAGCTGCTGAAGTGTGGCAGGTGGTTTTCAGCCAAGTGGCTGCTCGAACTCTCATCCCTTTCAGCTTCCTCTGCCATCCGTAAAAAGGTACCCAGTAATCATAGCAGTCATTCTTGGGGTCTCCAGTGGTCCAAGGAAATCACCACCACCATTCGACAACATAAACAAGGGACCAGTCCCACTGCCTTAACATGCCGCAGTTCACACGGAAGCTTACCCTAGCTTAAGCCAATCATTAATTCATCACCCAAGCTTCTTGAATCCCGGGTCGCAAAATGCAATCGCCGACACACTCTCTCGCTTCTCGTTACCTAAATTCAGACAATCGGCACTAGCCTCCAACACCGCTCCGACTTCAGTCCCACCATCTTCAGCCACCATCCTCTACTCCTCCTTCCAGATGGAGAATTTGGTTGGCGTTTTCTTTCGCTCGTTGGCTTCACCCCGTTCACCAATCAATCATTAAGATCATTGTATCCACATGATCAGTTTCGTCGCATCTGCAAATCCTGTCCGAACCATGAATTTTCCCAGAGCCACACTCGGGGGTGTTCCCTCTCATCCAGGACACATCCAATGCTTCCACGCAGGGAATCCCAGATATCGGCAATAAACCCTTTGGCAGATGGTCTTCTCGAGCATATCCCACGTACATCTGTTACGACCTAAACGATATAACACCACGCTTACGAGTCGATTCGAAGTCTTTTTGGGGGCTCTTTGCAAGAGATACGAAAGAGACAGCTCCCCCACTCTGTGTCTCGCAACCCACTCCCTGTCACATTGTACACGAACCTCTCCATCCATTCATCCATTCCTTGATCTTCATTCCTCGATCTTCATTCCTCGACCTTCATTCCTCAATCCTTCCCTCATCCCTCGAGCCTTCCCTCATCCCTCGAGCCATCCCTCGACCCTTGCCTCATCCCCTGATCCATCCCTCATCCCCTCGACCCTATCTTCATCCCTCGATCTATCCCTCATCCCTCGACCCTACCCTCATCCCCGACTCCGACCCCTACCCCTCATCCCTTCATCCCTTATCCCTTCATTCCTCATCCCTTCATCCCTCATCCCCCTCCCCTCATCCCTCAGTGTACCACATCTGTTCACATTTGTTTATTACGTGTAATAAACGTTTGATGATCGTCATCGTGATGATGATGATGAACATGAAGAAGATAATGACGACGACGACAACAACAATAGGGAACAATGAGCAGTGACAATAGTAATAATAGTATCTGAAGTAATAATAGTAATAACAGTAACAATAATATCAGTGATATTAGCAATGGCAGTCAAGCAGGACCATGGCAGGAGGCACCACCAGGATCCATGAGAACCTGCGAGATGAGAAAGCACAAGAACTCTGGGGAAGAAGTGAAGTTAGTATCATGCATTAATGGGTCATGAATGAGTGCAGAAAGAGAGAGGAAGATCGGAGCTCAGTACATCATGGGAAATCCAGCGATAGTCCAGGCCTACAGCAGCATAACTAAGGGATGGTTCAGGACTCACCTGATCCAGCCCTAACTATAAGCTTTATCAAAGAGGAACATCTTCTACCTACTCTGAAATGTGGAGAGGGTGTCTGCCTCCTGAACCACAACTGGAAGCTGGTTCCCAGGAGAGGAGCTTGGTAGCTGAAGGCTCTGGCTCCTGTTCTACTTTTAGAGACTATAGGAACCACAAGTAGCCCAGCATTCAGAGAACGTAGTGTTCTAGTGGGGTAATAGGGTACTATGAGCTCTTTAAGATATGAAGGGGCCTGACCATGAAGAGCTTTATAGGTGAGGAGGAGGATTTTAAATTCTATTCTAAATTTTACAGGGAGCCAGTGCAGAGACGCTAGCACAGGAGAGATATGATCTCTTTTCCTAGTTCCTGTCAGTATTCGTGATGCAGCGTTCTGAATTAATTGGAGTGTCTTAATGGACTTATTGGAGCAGCATGATAATAAGGAGTTGCAGTAATCCAGCCTAGAAATAAATGCATGGATAAGTTTTTCTGCGTCTATGATAGGATGTGTCTAATTTTTGTAATATTGCGTAAATGAAAGAAGGCAGTCCTGGAGGTTTGCTTTAGGTGGGAATTAAATGACATATCCTGATCAAAGATAACTCAACTTTTCCTGACAGTGGTGCTAGAGGCCAATGTAATACCATAAGAGTAACTATATCTTTAGACAGTGAGTCTCTGAGGTTTTTGTTTAACATCAGAAATTTGTTCATCCAGGTTTTTTTGTCCTTTAGACATGTTTGTAACCTAGATAACTTAATAAATAATTTCATCGGACTTGATCGACAGGTATAACTAGGTATCATCTGCATAACAGTGAAAGTTAATGGAGTGATTCCTAATAATATTGCCTAAGGGAAGCATATAAAGTGAATAGAATTGGTCCAAGTACAGAACCTTGTGGAACTCCATGACTAACTTTAGTATTCATGGGGGATTCATCGTTAACATGTGCAAACTGAGAACGATCTGATAAATAGGACCTAAACCAGCTTAGGACGGTTCCTTTAATGCCAATTGATGCTCAAGTCTCTGTAAAAGAATATTATGGTCAATGGTGTCAAATGCGGCACTAAGATCTAATAATACAAGTACAGAGACAAGTCCATTGTCTGAAGCAATCAAAAGGTCATTACTAACTTCAACCAGAGCTGTCTATCCTGAATGAAAATTCTCAAATAAGCTGTTGCTATGTAGAAAGTCATACAACTGTTGGGCGACTACTTTCCCAGAATCTTAGAGAGGAAGGGGAGGTTAGAAATCAGTCTATAGTTGGCTAAAACCCTTGGATCAAGAGTGGGATTTTTAAGAAGGGGTTTAATTACAGCTACTTTAAAGAACTGCGGTACATATCCTGACAATAAAGAAAGATTGATCATATCCAGTAAAGAAGTGTCAATTAAGGGTACGACTTCTTAAGCAGCCTAGTTGAGATGGGGTCTAACAGACAGGTTAATGGCTTAGATGTAGAAATTATTTAAGTTAATTGATGAAGATCAATAGCAGTAAAACAGTCTAAATATATATCTGATTTGTTGAATTTGTTAAAGTTCCTGAACTTGGAGAGACAGCGATACCTGTTGAGGGCATTTGGTTATTAATTTTGTCTCTAAAAGTAATAAATGTATCATAAAAGAAGCTCATAAAGTCGTTGCTACTGAGAGATGGGGATATGTGGCTCAATAGAGCTGTGACTCTGTCAGCCTGGCTACAGTGCTGAAGAGGAACCTGGGGTTGTTCTTATTTTCTTCTATTAGTGCTGAATAATAGGCTCCTCTGGCATTACGGCGGGCCTTTCTATAGGGTTTCAGGCAATCTTGCCAAATTAAGCGATATTCTCATAGTTTGAAAGAGCGCCATTTCCTTTCAGATTTCTGGGCTTTTTTTCTTTCAGTTCAGTAATTTAGACTCTACTGCCACCTGCTGGTACAGCACCTCTCTGCATCAAACACAAGTGTCAGACTGATTAAAGAATTTTCCTTCAAGTGGACATCAAACAGCCTGATTTTAGCCAGTTTTACAGAATTGAGTGTGTTGAAATATTTTTTTTTCTATAGATAAAATAATGACATGGCTACTGCATCCCTCCCTAGCTTCCTGTAGTTACAGGAAACATGAAGCAAACCGCACTCTGCTTCCTTTTTTATGTCCACTGTGTATATTTTCTAGTTTCTTTAGTCCTCTGTGACAGTAAACTGAATATCTTTTTGGGCTTTGGGGAAGACTGATCAACATTTTTTGATTATTTCATGGAAACTAATCAATTGAGAAAACGACTGATTAATCGTTAATAAAATAACCATTACTGCAGCCCTACTGTACTGTGACTACAGATACATGTTTTCTCCATGTTTTCTTGTTTGTTTTCTTTCTGGTTATTTTTTTTTTTGTTTGCCTCCATAGTATAAAAATGTATGGGCTGAAGAATATTGTATATAAAGAACAGTGTAGACGGGACAATATAGATTTGACTCTGGATTGAAACGTTTTATGCCATTGTTATTAAATACATCTTTACAAACATGAGCTGTGATACAACCACTGTATCTTTATTTTCTGTACAGTACCACACTAAGGCCAAAAGGTCAATGTATTTCTCTCTGTTCATAGTGTGCTGTCACATCAACTCTGTCTGTCTCTCCATCCAGGCGCCCCTTATACAATTTTGAACACAGCTTTGGTCTGGTTCTTATTTCATGTACTGCAGGACAGGAAACAGAGCTGACTGTGGAACATTGGATGCTTTCTCAGGTTAACATCTAAGAACTGTTGTCTTATCCACATTTCAATGTGTTAACCTTAAAGCTGTGGTTTCAGGATGATTTTTGTCTTTCTGCCGTTATTTGGTGTTGTTGCTGCCAGCGTGGATAAAAACAACAGCAGTTCCTTTATTCCAGAACTAAAAGTTGGTGGAACGAAGCTAACTGAAAATGGAAGAATGAAGGGATCTGACAGTTCATTAGAATCCTTAACATTTACAGTTTCCATGTGGTGGTGCTTTAACTAAGAGATGACTGTCTTTAATTGAAAGAAGTGTGAGCAGTGTCCCACTTCAAAATTACATTAATTTCAGCCCAGCAGCAGCAGGAGGAGCTTTAACTGGACTGGACAAATACTGCAAACTAACACAGCTCCTGTGTTGGCCAATCAGAACTCCTGTTGTTGCTCTGATACATTTGTGTAACTGTTTTCCTTCAGGTTGCCAACACTGCCTGACTTTAACATAGAGCCACGATGACAGCAGAGGACATTTTGAACACTCTAGAGGATTTAAAACATGAGGAATTCAAGAAGTTCAAATGGTATCTGAAGCAGCCCAACATCCTGGAAGGCTACGAAACCATCAAAGAATCCAAGCTGGAGAAGGCAAAAAGGCGGGACACAGTGGACCTGATGGTGAACACCTTTGACCTTGATGGAGCTCTGAAGGTGACCAAGAAGGTTTTAGAAAAGATAAACAGGAACGATCTGGTGCAGAGCTTGCCAGACAGCAGCTCAGGTCAGTCACACTTTATTTATTTGTATTTCAGGTAAAAAGAGTAGGTTAACACTGACAACATGATCCTTGTAAAGGAACAGTGTCTCCAAGTACAGATTGTATTATTGTTATTGGTATTGTATTGTATTGTATGTAAAGAGTAAAACTGGAGGCCTGATCTGGTTATTATGAGAGAAGGTTTAAGTTATCAATCATTGCTATTCCAGAGGACAGAGGCATGATAGAGCCACCTGGGGGCCGAGGCCTGAGCGAAGGACAAGTTGTAGATGGCTGTCAACACCTCCGTCAGATCTGATGAGCAAACCCTGAGTGCACGCCCGGGGATGGTATCTGGGCTAGCTGCCTTCCGTGGGTTTGTTCTTCTCAGAGAGGAGCGCACCTCTACTGGTGACACAGAGAGTGGTGTGTCCAGTATGCCCCCACTAGCCAGAATCTCACCCTGTCAGCTGGCAATGAGGGCCTCGAAACGAGCGTAGAACTCTTTGAGCTCATCTGGTAGTGTGACTACCAGTGTGACTGGTTGAGGCCCCCAAACTCTTCTGTTTGTAGTCTGTGATGTGTTGCAGTTCTTGCCACATGCTCCGGGTATCAGCAGTGGTGTAATATCCCAACCAGCTTTGTCTCTTGGCCTGTCTGATTGATCTACGTAGGTCATTTGTGGCCTTTTTTCAGTCCTCAATGTCACCAGAGACAAATGCAGCACAGCGAGCACATAGCATGGACTGCACTTCACAGTTAATCCAGGGTTTGTTGTTGGAGTAGGTCTTGCAGCGTTAAGTGGGGATTATGTTCTCAGTGCAAATGCTAATGTAGCCAGTTGCAGCTGCAGCATATTCCTCTAGGTCCACAGTGCCGTCCCCACTTAGAGTAGCAGTTTTAAACCCACCCCAGTCTGTACTGTTAAAGCAGTCCTGAAGCACCAGTTCAGATTCTGAATCACTTTAATAGTTTTACTTACGGGAGAGCTTGTTTGAGGAGTTGTTTGTAGGCTGGGTAGAGGATCACCGAGATGTGGTCTGATAGTCCAAAGTGCAGCCGAGGCACAGCCTTGTAGGCGTTCTTCACGTTGCTGTACACTTGGTCGAAAGTATTCTTCTCCTTTGTAAGAAAGCTCACCGGTTGATGGTACTTTGGTAGGACGCTCCTGAGGTTGCAGTGGTTAAAATCACCAGCCACGATGAAGACGGCATCTGGGTGTGCAGTCTCCTGCTTGCTGATGAGGTCCTGTAGCATCCCCAGCGTGGTCACGTGATCGGACTCTGGCGGAATGTAAAAAGCCAGCGGAAACACAGCGGTGAACTCCCTTGGTAGATCAAAGGGTCTGCACTTTAGCATTAAAAGTTCAATGTTCGGTGAACAGTGCTTTTCAACATCCTGCACAACCCCACACCCTCTGTTGTTAATGTACACACACACACCGCCTCCCCTGGTCTTCTTCGAGGCCTCTGTGCAGTCTCCATGGATGGAGTAAGTGTGGAGCAGGAGAGCCGAGTTTGGCGCACTGTTCGAGAACCAAGTCTCAGTGAAAATAAGTGCACAACATTCCCTTATCTCTTGCTGAGTTGTAGTCCTAGTTCTCAGTTCGGCCATCCTATTTTCAAGAGAGCGGACATTAGCCAGCAGCAGGCTAGGTAGCGGTGTTCGTGTAGCTCTAGCCTTTAGCCTAGCATGTCGCCCCCCTCTCATGCCTCATGTCCGCTGTGGGCGCACCGGTGTTGCTGTGTCCTGCCGGCTGGAGTTGGCTTGCTCGAGGTGTAGGAGAAAGTCAAAGTCCAACAGGCGGTGTTTAAGCTTGTGTTGAACCTTGTCAGTGTCCAGCAGTTCTTCCCTACTAAGAGGTTTCTGCCTCTTAAAAATTCTTAAAAAAGTTTTTCCTTGCCGCCGTCGCCAAGTGCTTGCTTATGGTGGGAATTGTTGGGTCTCTGTAAATAATGTTATAAGGAGTTCGGTCTAGACCTGCTCTTTTTGAAAAGTGTCCTGAGATAACTTCTGTTATGAATTGGCACTATACAAATAAAATTGAATTGTATTGAATGGAATTGAACGTCTATATTTAATGTAAACGCTGAAGTATTAATGGATTTGTTTCATGACAGCAGAGACTTTGTATAATGTACTGTTATAGTGTTGTTTGCTCAATATTTGATTGTATTGTTCAGAAACTGTTAAATACACAGTGTGGGGCTGAACATAGTGTACAGAAATACAATGAAGGGAGGTTTACACAACTTCCTTAGTAACATCCAGTAGACTGATGTACTCAGAGTTTGGTTACTTTAAAGGGGCAGTATGAATGAAATTTAGTTTGCAATATCTTAATGTATTTATGAGTTCTATGATGTACTGTGAATATTTTCTAGTCACGTTTTAAAGAATAGAATATATAATATAGATAACTTCTGTTATGAATTGATGCTATAATAATAAAACTGAATTGAATTAAAGATGATGAAGATGGTGATGAAGATGATGAAGATGAAGATGAAAATGATGATGACGACGACGACGATGATAATGTTGAAGATAAAGATGACGATGATGATAATGTTGAAGATAAAGATGACGGTGATGACGACGATGAAGATGACGACGACAACGATGAAGATGACAATGACGACGATGAAGATGACGGTGATGGCGACGATGAAGATGACGACGACGACGATGAAGATGACGATGACGACGACGATGACGACGACGATGATGATGATGATCATTGATGGCGATGATGATGTTGAAGATGAAGAAGAAGATGATGTTGAAGATGATGTTGAAGATGATGGTGATGGTGATGGTGATGATGATGATGATGATGATGATGATGATTGTGATGTGATGATGAAAATGATAGATGAAGATTATGATGATGATGATGATTAAGATGAAGATGAAGAGGATGTTGATGAAGATGATAATGATGACGATGAAGATAAAGATAATGATGAAGATGATGATGAAGATATTGATGATGATGATGAAGATAATAATGATGATAATGATCATGGCGATGAAGATAAAAATGATGATGATTAATGATGAAGATGATGATGATGATAATAATGATGATGATGTTGAAGATGGTGATGATGAAAATAATGACGATAATGACAATAATGATGAAGATGATGATGATGATGATGGTTTTATTCCGTCTCTCGATGTTCAATTTTTTTGGGTTTGTTGTTTGTTTTATATATTTTGATGTATTTTATGTTGAAGTCTGTTTATTTTCAGTGTTGCTGCTTTTTTCCTCTTTGGAACAATAAAGTTAACATCATGGTTGAAATGATCAGTAATTTAAAATGAGCTTTAAACAGAGCTGTGATCTCTACATGCACTTACAGCTTAAGCTTAAGCTTAAATAAAGAGGAAAAAGCTAAAGTGTAAAGTTTTGCTTCTGTTTTTCAGTCTGTGGGTTTATTTCTGACTTAATAAAACTTGGTTATGTGTCACTTTGATAAATCCACATCAGAAATCAATTTCTGTCAATTAAAACCACCTCAATGTCATTTTTAGCTCCGTCTAATATGAGAGTAAAAGTATCTGATCTCAAGATGTTTTTTTCTCTGTTGGTCAGAAACTCCACAAGGTCCCTTTAAAGAAATTTTCTGATTTTTGGAAGAAACCTTCAAAGACTGAACTGAAGAAGAGATCAAGTGTATTCAGTTTCACTGTAAATTATTTATTTCATATTCAAACTGAAATGGTGTCAACAAAATTGAAACATTTTTCTGACTCTAAAAGTAGAAAATCAGTGAGAGTGTCTGACAACAGTCTGCTGCTTGTTTTCTATCTGCTTTATATGTAACTGATGTCCACTGCCACATCATCAAATATCTGATAACGGACAAATAATTCATCTATAATCAACATTTGAGCTGATTAACTCATCGTGAGGTGCAGGACAGCAGAGAAATTACCCAGGTCCAGACCTCAGGTGGCGCTAATTACTAAGAAGTAAGGGTACTCATGTGGGCAAAAATCAGAGGTGCTGGTCCTCAGTACTGGTTAGTACCGGCCCATTTCAGGCTCTGATTTTATCACACATCCATTATCCAATCACATCTGAGAATCCGCCTACTCATACAGTACATGAAATCTTTAGAGTTTTTGTCCTTCAGTGAGCTGTAGATGCAGGAAAATAAGTGTGTCTGCTATAAGACTGTCAAACAGCAACAACAACAACAACACACACACACACACACACACACACACACACACACACACACACACACACACACACACACAGCAGTGAACATGGAAGGATGTCTGATATGAGTTTGAACAACAGATGAAGAGCAGATCAGCTGGTAGTTTGTTGGTTTGGACAGCAGGTGGCGCTGCTGCATCAACAATCAGCTGAGACTCAACCATACAAGAGTGTGTTTTTCAGACAGACACACAGGGAGACAAGCTGGGTTCAAACCTGTGACATGGACACAACTCATAATAACACACAAACATTAAAAACCAGTTATTTGGGGAGAAATAAAACATTGAATCTTCTGTATGTAATACAGAATTCATTGAAATGAATGATGGATGAGGCTTAAACAGAACAGAAACAGGAATATTGATGGAGAGTCATGTAAGGGATAATGCCCGACGAGGTGTCCGCTATCAGGAAGGAAGGAGGACGTGGAGGCCAGAACCGTCGGCTGCCTCTGGGAAGTCCATTAATTCCTGATTATGGACACCTTGAAGGGCATTATCCTGCTTATACCATGGTCACTTTCCAAAGAAAATAGGACAAACCAAAGATATGACTTGGCAACGGGAGATATTTCTAGTTCCCTCTGCTCAGAGAGAGACAGAGAGCTAACATTATGGTAGCTAGATTCAATTCAATTCAACGCATTCATTTAGAACGGTGACAGTTTCACTGAAACTGCTTAGTAGGTGTCCTACATCAGGTATCAATGGACACCCAGCAGCCAATCAGAATCAAGTATTCACCCAGACCATGGTATAATGTTACATACGTGTGGGGCTGATGGTCACTACACAGGCCAAAATGTCCCATAATTCTTTGGGCCTTGTTGTTGCCACAGAAACAACAAGAGACATTTTATAAACAGTTTGACAGACAACAAAGCAGCTGCAGCTCAAATCAACAGATTCAAATCAATTACTCAAAAAATGTGTTTTTAGCAAAAGAGTTGATCAGGAATGTGACAAAGTTCTTCTGGTGTTACAAAGACAACTGCAGCAGCAACATGTCTGTGAAGAAGCTGTCCCAGCACAATGCTCACATTGAAAAGTTGAACGTCACCAAATACTTCTTCAGCTGATCTACAACCACAACCATTGTTCAAGGTAAACACAGCTAACTAGGTTGAGTTTGATGAACAACAATCTTAACCTAGTTAGCTGGGTTACATTTATTTATTTCAGTTGGAGCTTTTCAAGCAGGGAAATAAGTGAGGTGATTTGGAAGAAACCTGGATTTAGTATGTGACCTGTAAATGACGAGGGGAGGAACAGGTGATACAGGTACTGTACTTACCACAATAAAACAATAAAACAGTTTGTGTTCAGTCAGTCAGGGTTCAGACTCCATTTTGAGTCGACAGAGCAGAAGGACAAAAAGGAAGTCAGAGTCAGGGTGAGTGTTAATACAACATTATTATTGTTTTACTGTCAAAGTCTCTGATTCATCTGTGAATACAGTGTGATTGGATGAATAATGAACAACAGACTTAATGCTAACTCACAAAAACAAGCTTACATTCAAAGCAGAGTCATTACACTTGTGTGTGTGTGTGTGTGTGTGTGTGTGTGTGTGTGTGTGTGTGTGTGTGTGTGTGTGTGTGTGTGAGACACTTGAACAGACTTGTTGATCAGGATTCTTGTGTTCTGAGCTCACAGTCAGTGTTACTGGTTCTCTCTCAGACTGACTGAAGTCCAGAAGATCAGTGATCAGTGACAGTGGTTTTCTTTTACAGATTGAATCTTACAGTTCATATTTTTCTCTGCCACTTCAGGTACACCTGGAAAAATAATACAGCTCAGAAAACGTTATCACTAAGTACAGCCTCAATTAAACTGTTTAAGTTTACCAAAGGTCTGTTTTATGGACCTTTATTAAACTGTACACACAGTCAAGATATTGTGTTATAACCCTGTAGATACAATAAATGTTGGTCCAAAGATCAGGATCACTGTTAGATATTAACTTCATCTCCATTTTACAGTCTCCTCCTCTGCATCTTGTTTCACTTGTTTGTCTTTTTCGTCTTCATGTTGTACGACTTGCATGAACTACATATTTGTCTCAACGCTGTCTGAAGTGCAGAAGATGAGTGACTGTGTGGAGGAAGAGAAGGACAGAGCAGAGTCTCCAATGTCCAGCTGTCTGTCTATGAAGAGTGATCGGTCTAGAGAATATCCTCCATTATTCAGTAATGAACCTGAACCCTTAGACACACAGTAAGAGAACTACCAGTTACTGTTTAACCAACAAACTATCAGTAACAGCAATGTGTGTATAGAGAACTGTGTATTTTTGATAATTTCACACTGATTCACATGAAATGAATAAAAACATCTTGTTGTTTCCAGAAGTCAGTACCACCAACAGAGAGCAGAGTCTCCAATGTCCAGCTGTCTGTCTATGAAGAGTGATTGGTCTAAAGATTATCCTCCAGACTTCAGTAATGAACCTGAACCCTCAGACACACAGTAAGAGAACTGCTACTAACTTCAGTTTCTTTCATTATATTATCACCATTATATGATTGTATTTGTCCAAATATAAGACAATATTTATTTCTAGAAATGACATTTGAAACAGTGTATTATACTCGAGGACTAGACAATCACATATTAACAACATCAGATATTCTTTCTAAATGGACCGGTATGACAGTGGCTCCTACACAGAGTGATGCATTATGGGTTGTTTGTAGCCTTAATGTTGTTGGCTAGTGAGTTACTTCAAGTTCAAGTATTTCATCTTTTATTTTTACAAAGGAAAAGGCTCCATTGATGAGGACTATCTTTTAGATCAACAGTGTCTCTGAGAAAGTTTCCCAACATCAGCAGTTTGAAATTGTTTCTGATCTTCAAAAAGCCTTTTTCCAAACACAGCTGTTGGAAAAGAGAGAGGCATCTTGTGTTGTCTGATATTCTGGCCAATATGGTAGAAGAGATTTTCTAACCTGCTAATGACGTTCTGTTCTGTGCTCCTGTTTGTTTGTTTGTTTTTCTATTAAGATTTTCCATTAAAATAAGTTTGTAGACTAAAATATAAGAATGCAAACTGCCCCACTGTGACTCAGTTAAACATCTTTATCAATAAAAGCAGAATGAAAATAACAGTTTGATCTCTTCAGGCTGCAGCTGCTGTCACATAATTTGGAGCAGATTGTTGTCTGATCAAGAAGACAATATCTCAGATATTGTGATTCAGTAAAAGCTCAACTCAGCTTTTTTACACTGAAATATAACTATGATTTCTGATCTGAGTGATTTTACTTTATCTCCCCAGAAAGAAGAAGAGGAGTCATGTTTCTGTGGAGGAGCAGCTGTCCTGCTGTGTTTTGTGTCAGGACGTCCTGAAGGATCCAGTCTCTACCAGCTGTGGACACTGGTTCTGCAGACAGTGCATCACCTCATACTGGGACAAGTCTGCTTCATCAGGAGACTCCTCCTGTCCCCAGTGTGGAAAAAGATCCAGAACAAGAGCTGGACTGCAGACAGCCAGTCAGACCAGCACTATACAAAGTAAGACTGTACATCTGTCTGCTGATGTCCTCATGTCTGAAAACAGGACTTTATAATCTATTACAGGGACATTTGTTGTGTTATGTAGTGCATTTAATATTATCATGAATATCATAAATTGAAAAACATTTTTATTGATCCCGATTTTGGTTCTCAGTTTAGTCTCAGAATATCTTTCTTCTCTTCCAGCAGATGGTGGTCTGCAGGAGGTTTTAGATGAACATAAGATCAGTCTGAAGACGAGATGTAAACATGTGACTGAAGGAACTGATGAAACAGGAAGTGGAACCCTCCTCAACAGGATCTACACTGAGCTCTACATCACAGAGGGACAGAGTGAAGAGGTTAATACCCAACATGAGGTGAGGCAGCTTGAGACAGCTTCCAAGATGGAGACCCTCCATGACACTCCAATTAAGTGCCACAACATCTTTAAAGCCTTCCCTGACCAACAGAAACACATCAGAGTGGTTCTGACAAACGGCGTCGCTGGCGTTGGAAAAACCTTCTCAGTGCAGAAGTTCACTCTGGACTGGGCCGAGGACTTGGAAAACCTAGATGTCAGTCTGGTGGTTCTGCTTTCGTTCAGGGAGCTGAACCTGATCAAAGATGAGCAGTACAGTCTTCTCAAACTGCTCCATGTTTTCCATCCAACATTACAGAAGGTCACAGCAGAGAAGCTCACTGTCTGTAAATTTTTGTTCATCTTTGACGGCCTGGATGAAAGCAGACTTTCACTGGATTTCCACAACAAGGAGGTTGTGTCTGACGTCACACAGAAGTCCTCAGTCAACGCGTTGTTGACAAACCTCATCAAGGGGAATCTGCTTCCCTCGGCTCTCGTCTGGATAACTTCCAGACCTGCAGCAGCCAATCAGATCCCTCCTGAATGTGTTGACAGGGTAACAGAAGTACGAGGCTTCACTGATGCCCAGAAGGAGGAGTACTTCAGGAGGAGAGTCAGTGATGAAGATCTGTCCAGCAGAATCATCTCACACATCAAGACCTCCAGGAGCCTCCACATCATGTGTCTAATCCCAGTCTTCTGCTGGATCACTGCTACAGTTCTGGACCACATGTTAACTACAGACCAGAGAGGACAGCTGCCCAAGACCCTGACTGACATGTACTCAAAATTCCTGCTGGTTCAGACAAAGAGGAAGAAGCAGAAGTATGATGAGGGACATGAGAAGAGTCCACAGGAGCTGATGAAGGCTGACAGGGAAGTTCTTCTGAAGCTGGGGAGGCTGGCGTTTGAACAGTTGAAGCAAGGAAACATCATGTTCTACCAAGAAGACCTGGAGCAGTGTGGTCTTGATGTCACAGAGGCCTCGGTGTACTCAGGAGTTTGTACAGAGATCTTCAAAAGAGAGAGTGTGATCTTCCAGAAAACAGTCTACTGCTTTGTTCATCTGAGCATTCAGGATTTTCTGGCTGCAGTCTACATGTTCCACTGTTATACCAACAGGAACACAAAGGTACTGGAGGACTTTCTCAAAGACTACAGCAGGGACACAAAACCAAAGACTCTTCTAGGGAAGATTTTTACTTTTTTTGGATACGATGATAGCCGTGACCATGATGGCGATCGTCATGGCAAATCCCTGGATGTTTTTCTAAAGAGCGCCATGGAGAAATCCATCAAAAGTAAAAATGGCCACCTGGACCTGTTTGTTCGCTTCCTTCATGGCCTCTCTCTGGAGTCCAACCAGAGACTCTTAGGAGGCTTGCTGGGTCAGACAAACAACAGTCCAGAAGTCATCCAGAGAGCCATCAACAACCTGAAGGAGATGAACAGAGGTTATATCTCTCCTGACAGAAGCATCAACATCTTCCACTGTCTGATGGAGATGAACGACCACTCAGTCCATCAGGAGATCCAAGAGTTCCTGAAGTCAGAGAACAGATCAGAGAAGAAACTCTCTGAGATCCACTGCTCAGCTCTGGCCTACATGCTGCAGATGTCAGAGGAGGTTCTGGATGAGTTGGACCTGAAGAAGTACAACACATCAGACCACGGAAGGCGGAGACTGATTCCAGCTGTGAGGAACTGCAGGAAGTTTCAGATCCTGTGAGTGCGAACATGTTGATTTTTCAGTTGGAGGTTTATAGCTGTCAAGTTAATTAACACAGTTATTCTATTAATTTCTAATAATTGAATAATTAATTAATTAATAATTACATTTTACTTACTGGACATGCAAACTCGGCAGAACAATAGGGAGTTTTTAGAGTTTAAAATAAGATCTGTATCATTTTCCAAAGGAGATTTCTAAAGTTCTAGACAATTTCTGTCATACAGTTATCATTTTGTTCGTAATTTATAGTGAGCATGGAGGATGTTTGGGATGCCAGGACCACCTCTTATAGGAAAATGAAAAACCAAAAACCCAGCTGGATTTAAAGATCATACTTTACATTGCTCATGTTAGAGGCCTTAAGCACGAGTGAGCAGTGAACAGATATTGTGTTCTGTTGTGTCCAGGAAAAGCAGAGACAGGAGACATTAGTTGTGATCTTTAGGCTGTTCTCTGTCTGAGCAGCAGAAGCCTCACAGAACCTGAATACAACTAGTGCTCACCAAGGTAGACACTGCCTCTTGTGGTGACACTGAGCAATTACACCTTCAACAATACAACTCAACCCCCTGTAACAATACATCCAAATCTGTCCTCTTCCACAGGTAAATACATAAAGTAACTGAACAGTTGTGACCATACATTTGTATGTGTCACATTTACAGAACATGAGACATTTTCTCTGATTTAGCTTTAAAGGTTTAAAGGTCCAGTAATTAACATTTAGGAGACTCTGTTGGCAGAAATGGAATATAATATTCATTGGTATGTTTTCAGTAGTAGTTACGCCTTCATGTTTCTACGGTGGCCTAGAAGGGAAAAACCAAACACTGGCTCTTGATAGGGCTGTTATTGTTTTTTTGCACATTTCATGGCCACCGTAGTTTCTCCTATACACTTGGAAGTGGAGGGTGAAGCGGGTGAGTGCTGATCTGTAGTCTTGAGTTATGAGAGAGAGTTAGGAGAGTGATTGTTTCATGTCAAACACAGTGAGATAAGATTAGCTGAACCACTGATGTGAAAAGCAAATGTTCATCAAAACAGAAAATGTCAATCTGTTCAAATCCATAAAGTAAATATAAAGTGTGTCTCTCATTATAAAATATTTTCTAATATGTGTCATTATAGACTTTCTGACTGTGGACTCTCAGAGACTCACTGGAAAGTTGTGGCCTCAGCTCTGAAGTCCAACCCCTCCCATCTGAGACATCTTGATTTGAGTTTCAACGAGCTGCAGGATTCAGGAGTGAAAACACTGTCTGCTGGACTGCAGAGTCCAAACTGTAGACTGGAGACTCTGAGGTCAGTTCACTGATTGTAGTGCATGCAGTTTTGTGTCTTTCCAAATTACCCAACAGTTGGTACAGTAACAACAATATAGAAATGAAATGTTTGACAGGAGAGTTTTTCAGCCTCCACAGACTCACATTGTGGTCCATCAGTCAGTGAAGATGATGTCAGTACTGATGAGGCTGTAGAGTGTGTGAGGGATATGAATGAGGTTGTTTAAGATCTGATGAAAGCAGATAAAAACAGGCTGCAGAGAGTTTGAGCTTCAGTATAAACAGAGAGAGACGTGTAGCATATTTTTACTATACTTATAATAATAAGCAGCAGGTGATTAACTAAGGATGGAATATCAGAAGACTTGATTAGGGTTAAGAGGAATGATTTCACTGATCACAGTATTGAATGAAGACTCAGGAAACCAGATTCTGTTGTATTTTTTAGAGAAATGGAAAACAACAAATAAACCACACACATTTTATAAATGAATTAGAAATGACATTTCTCCAAAATCCATCCTGACATATTTGACATCTTTGGAAACTTCAGGATCTTGATTGGAATCTTAAATCAGTTTCTGTGGGATTTTATTTGTGTTTGACTGCACAACATGAGTTTGTATAGATGGAGCCACTGGTGGAGCTGGCAGAGGTTAAGAGCTGAGGTCACTACGTTTTTATTGAAGCAGCAGCACGTTGTCATTAATATTAATGAGAGCTCCTTTCACCTTTTTGTATTTTACAGTTTTCAACCTCCTGTTGGGTTCAGGTGTTTGGAGTTTCCATTTTCTAAACTTGTACATTCTAAACCTTCTTCAGCTCTGAACAGCTTATTAAACACTGAGTGATTTCAAGCAGGAACATTGTCTTTTAAACATACATCTTTTATTCTCTATTCAGATTGTGGAACTGCAGTTTGCCAGAGATCAGCTGTGATTATCTGGTGTCAGCTCTGATGTCAAACCCCTCCCATCTGAGAGAGCTGGACCTGGGTAACAACAAGCTGCAGGATTCAGGAGTGAAGCTCTTGTGTGGTTTTCTGGAGAGTCCACACTGTAGACTGGAGACTCTGGGGTCAGAACCTATTTTTTACTTCTGTGCTGAGATTAATATGATGTGAAAGTTGTGGTGACAGTGAAGTGCAGACATAAGGCTGATATTATACTGAGTATCTTAAGGCTAAAGTCTGTTTTTTTCTTTAGTGGTTTAGTCCATTGACTGTGGCAGAGCAATGTTGAGCTCCACATTTAAAACCTGAATATAACAAGATGAATCTACACTGGATAATTTACTCGGAACCTCTTAAACTCTTGAATTTCATCTTATATTCCACATCATGTTTTTACATTACGAATAAATAAATAATCTCCATTTCAACTATCAGACAATAACAATATATTCAGTATTTGTTTTTTCCAACATTTTATGAAGCTATATGATGTTTATACTGACTGAATAGTTCATCTTAATGATTTCAAGCAAGAACATTGTCTTCTAAACTTACATCATTTATTCTTTCTTCAGATTGTGGGGCTGCAGTTTGTCAAAGATCAGCTGTGATTATCTGGTCTCAGCTCTGAAGTCCAACCCCTCCCATCTGAGAGAGCTGAACCTGAGTAACAACAAGCTGCAGGATTCAGGAGTGAAGCTGCTGTGTGGTTTTCTGGAGAGTCCACACTGTAGACTGGAGACTCTGAGGTCAGACACCATTTTTTACTTTTTAATTAATATGATGTGAAAATTGTGCTGACAGTAAAGTGCAGACATAAGGCTGATATTATACTGATCCACACTGAGTATCTGGATAATTCACTGTGAACCTCTTAAACTCTTGATTTTTATTTTATATTCAACATCATGTTTTTATTTTTTTCACATTATAAGAAAAATCAACTAAATAAATAAGATATTTTTAAACTATCAGACAATAACAAATATATTCAATATGGGATTTTTCCCCAACATTTTTATGAAGCTATATGTGGCCTGCTCAAGAATGATGAGACCGAACACAAATAAAATTATTTTTGTGGGTTTTTATTCCCCGACTGAGCTTAATAAAGAACAGTCTTAATACTATATTATTGAGGATTTAGTACAATTATAGTTATAACAAAACAGAATGATTACTCTTCCCTATTTCCTTCTCTGACAACAACCATCAGCTTTACCAGTTCTCCTCAGCACTTGATGAACAATGGTGTATGTAGGCTACCCACAGTAACAGTAACCAGGCTCAAACTCATAACACTCAACTTCATTATACTGAACTTCAGACATTAGCTAATTCTAGACAACAGTAGTGGCACCTCTCTAAATAAAGAAAATAAAAGCATTTGTTAAGCCACACAACTCATAGTCACTTCAAAATAAAATACTTCAAAATACATTCTTAACAAAATATTCTCTTACAAACATTCTTACAATTCAGAAACAATTTTCAGAGAAATGTATAATTAACTCACTTTCTCTCCAGTGTGCAGCCTGTGCTCTAAGACACACACACCTGGAATTCAATATGCATATATCTCCCCTCTACATTAGGCAGAAAACATAGAAATGGACATAGATTATTTAAACAGTCAGCATACATTGTAATGAGATAATTCTGTTAATACATGTGCTTTAACATTACTCACGCTAATCCTGCTGATCATCATTAATCATTATTAAGTCTGCTAACTTAATCATTATCTCATCTGCTGACACTGATAACCATTTCCATATTTTACCGAAATGTATAGGGATATTTATCTTACACATAAACAAAAATACACACCACGACAGTCAGGCAAATCCGTGTATCATTCGTTCTTTTCATATTCAATTGAGATTCCAAAATCGGAAAATGAAAAAAAAACGGTTTGTTATTTCATTATTCGTTTATCAATCTGATACCAAAAAACAAATAACGGTAAATTTTTTGTACTTTCGATTTATTGCTCAGATAATAGGAAATAGGAAATGAAATAAAGGGCCACATATCTATTTTGATTTAAAGGGACATTGTGTAGGAATTTCTCCCATCTAGTGGTCAAATTGTATTTTGCATTCAAACGAATAGTGCTCTCTAGTGCCTCGCGTTTTCAAATGCATATTGCAACTACGGTAGCTGTTATGTACCAAGAAGCTACTGATGGAGGTATGCTGCCTATATAATGACTTACACACCCAAGCAATAAAAAAACGTTGCAATTTTACCATAGCATTGACTTACCTGTCGAAGAGAAAGCAGGCAACTTCAGCGTCCCTTTGAAAGTAGTGTTGCTTTCGTCAACGAAAATTATGACTAAATATCGTCGTCAACGAACCTTTATCACGTGACGGAAACGAGACGAGACGCAGCGTAAATGGTGGTCATGTGACGAAAACTATAATCAAATATATAATGCAATATTGTTGACGAATAAAAACGGGACTAAATGTGGTTTGCGAAATAAAAACTCTGCTAAAATATCTCTTTATTTTCGTTGACCAAAACGTGATGAGACGAAATGTTATAACGTTATTTCGTCTCGCTATTATTATTATTATTATTATTATTTTGAAGTATTTCTGTTTCCTGAGTCTCGGGGCTGCATCAGTGCACTGCGCAGACGCAGGCTACGTCACTTCCTCAATCCCCACTCGCGGCATTATTTAGAAGATGCAGCTGCGGTGGGTTAACGTTAGTCACCGACACACACATTTTATTTGCACTTTTTTATTATGGCATTGTAGCTCGAGCATTCAAGCACCTTGTTTCTCCTTAAGTTAAACTTGAATGTAATGTACATTTTTTCTGTCATGGTCATTTGAAGCTATTTTATTTATTTATTTTATTACAATTTATGTGTGTGTACTTCTTACATGTTTGGAAGGTAAAATAAATATGTTGTAAATTCAAATCAGAGCGTCTTCCGTGTATTGAATGTATTCTTGAGTCTATAAGGTAACAATAATATAATAATAAGATAACCTTGTTTGACTTGAGGAATGGGTGACTTAAAGAAAATGTTGGTGTTGTCTATACTATACTAGGTACTTGTACTATATTAACTGGGTTAAATAGAATTGCATTACTAAAAAGAGACTAAAATACAGTTTTCATTGACTAAAACTAGATGAAAATAGTCATGGATAATTCTGACTAAAATAAGACTAAAATGCTCAGACGACTGAAACTTGACTAGACTAAAAAGAGTATAAACGTGACTAAAACTAATAAAAACTAAAATGACAGTTTGACACAAAGACTAGACTAAAACTAAAATTAAAACAGGCCCCCAAAAACAACACTATTTGAAAGTCTTTGTCCTTCATTAGCTCTTTCCACCTGGGAAAAGCTACCCCGATGTTTACCCTCGTTTTTAAATTCGCCGGTCACGTTGCCTTTTTAATTCCCTTTTTCGCTTTTTTGGCGACGAGGATTCCTTCTCCTGTGGCTCGGCATAAGTATGATCCTCCATTATTAACTAAAGTGCAGTGCAGACTTTCAAATGTGCCGGGACAGTGATAAGCGCCTCTCACTGATCTCCTTCTCCATTATAGCTGGTTTCAGTCACGTGATGCTGGCTCTGAACGAAAACGCGTTGTAGTGCTTTACGTCCCTCTCTGCGATTATAGTTTTTCAAAATGGCGGAACGACATGGAAGCCTCCATGGACTTGCCCGTCCAATGTATATACAGATAAGAAATTCTTCGCTTAAGGATAAGGATAAGTCAGATCATTGGCAGAGGTAATTTTACACCAATGAGGACACAGAAGACATTGACTTTAGCTAATAAAATACTTAAAACACTACACAATGTCCCTTTAATTTTTTCGCTTTGTATGAACCGGAAATGATTGTCTCTTTAGCTTGATTCACTCATATACATCGTATACACCGATACATGTCTTTTTCGCTTAAGGTCATGCTGAACACAGAATCTTCTTCTACATCGCTGGATACGCATCTGCTGCAGCGTAGTAATGTTAGAAATCTCTACATTTGTCTTGCCAGTTTCAAATAAGTCTTTAATTAAATCAGCATATGGTTCCAGTGCGGCCATGGTGTCGATACGAAATTGCTCAAAAAATACAGAGTACAATCACTGCATGATGGAGTTTTTTCATGCTTTGCGAAATTGCGGCAAACTTCCAAGTGCAACACAATAAAACAATAACTTCCGGTTCACACAAATCTGGTGTCTCCGCAAAATTATCCGCTCACTCGCGATTTGCCTTTTGCGCTTATGCTTCACTCATAACATAACAATGCCCCCTTAGGGAAAAGAACGCGACTGAAGTAATAATCCCACAAGCAAACTACAAAACACTTTTTAAGGAGAAAACCCCTGTATAACCCTTGTTCACCTGGCTACATATATGATGCTTTTAAACTTACATAATTTATTCTTTATTCAGATTGAGGAACTGCAGTTTGTCAGAGATCAGCTGTGATTATCTGGTCTCAGCTCTGAAGTCCAACCCCTCCCATCTGAGAGATCTGTGGTTGGATAACAACAAGCTGCAGGATTCAGGAGTGAAGCTGCTGTGTGGTTTTCTGGAGAGTCCACACTGTAGACTGGAGATTCTGGGGTCAGACACCATTTTTTCCTTTTGTGCTGAGATTAATCTGATTTAAAGGTTGTGCTGACAGTAAAGTTTCAATTCAATTTTCAATTTTATTTGTATAGCGCCAATTCATAACAGAAGTTATCTCAGGACACTTTTCAAATAGAGCAGGTCTAGACCAAACTCCTTATAACATTAATTACAGAGACCCAACAGTACCACCATGAGCAAGACCTTGGAGACAAGGGCAAGGAAAAACTGCCTGTTAAAAGACAGAAACCTAGGACAGATCCTTCGGCTCTAGGTGGGTGGTCGTCTGTCTCGACCAGTTGGGGTGAGAGAGAGAGAGAGAGACAGAGACAGAGACAGACAGACAGACAGACAGACAGAGGTGCACAGCAGCAACAGTAGCAACAACTACACTAATAGTAGTGACTGATGATGATGAACATGAAGAAGATGATGACGACGACAACAGCAACGATGGGGCACAATGAGCAGTGACAATAGTAATAATAGTAACTGTTGTAATAATATTAATAATAATAATAATAATAATAATAATAATATCATCACTGATATTGGCAATTGTAGTCAAGCAGGACCATGGCAGGAGGCTCCACCAGGATCGATAAGAACCTGCGAGACGAGAAAGCACAAGAACTCCAGGGAAGAAGTGAAGTTAGTAACATGCATTAATGGAACATGAATGAGTGCAGAAAGAGAGAGGAAGAGAGGAGCTCAGTGCACCATGGGAAATCCCCCGATAGTCTAGGCCTATAGCAGCATAACTAAGGGATGGTTCAGGACTCACCTGATCCAGCCCTAACTATAAGCTTTATCAAAGAGGAATGTCTTAAGCCTACTCTTAAATGTGGTGAGGGTGTCTGCCTCCCGAACCACAACTGGAAGCTGGTTCCACAAGAGAGGAGCTTGGTAACTTGGTAACCAAAATTCAAAACAATATGTTCTAAGGTTTTTAATAATAGTTCTTCATCTTTACTGTAAAAGATAGGGGGGCTTAGTCCTGTTAGCCAGACAATAACAAATATATTCAATACTGGCTTTTCCCCAACATTTTTATTAATCTATAGGATGCTTTTAAACTTACATCATTTATTCTTTATTCAGATTGTGGAGCTGCAGTTTCTCAGAGATCAGCTGTGATTATCTGGCCTCAGCTCTGAAGTCCAACCCCTCCCATCTAATATATTTTTGGTTGGATAACAACAAGCTGCAGGATTCAGGAGTGAAGCTGCTGTGTGGTTTTCTGGAGAGTCCACACTGTAGACTGGAGACTCTGGGGTCAGACACCATTTTTTCCTTCTGTGCTGAGATTAATATGATGTGAAAGTTGTGCTGACAGTACAGTGCAGACATAAGGCTGATATTATACTGATCCACACTGAGTATCTTAATGCTAAAGTCTGTTTTCTTCTTCAGTGGTTTAGTCCATTGACTGTGGCAGAGCAATGTTGAGCTCCACATTTAAAACCTGAATATTACAAGAAGAATCTACACTGGATAATTCACTCTGAACCTCTTAAAGACTTTTTATCTTATATTCCACAACATGTTCTTTGTGAAAAAATAAATACGTGAATACAATAAATAAATAATCAATATTTTAACTATCAGACAATACCAAATATATTCAGTATTTTTTTGTTTTATGAATCCATATGATGTATCTAAACTAACATAATTCATTCTTTATTCAGATTGAGTGGCTGCAGTTTGTCAGAGATCAGCTGTGATTATCTGGTCTCAGCTCTGAAGTCCAACCCCTCCCATCTGAGAGAGCTGGACCTGAAAGGAAACAATCTGCAAGATTCAGGAGTGAAGCTGCTGTCTGACCTTGTGGAGAGTCCACACTGTAGACTGGAGACTCTGAGGTCAGTAGAGGGTTGGAGTCAGTCCATGCTGGTTTCAGCAGTATTGTACTAAACACAGTTAGTATCAAAGCAAAGATCCAGTATTTGCTGCTTTCCTCAGTGAAGCTGTGAGAGGAGGATGGTGACAGACTTCAGGGTTGGACAGAAAGACAGAGAAAGACTGTAAACACTGATTTATAACTTCTGTTGTCTGTCTTCTTCTCTCATCAGATGGAAGTGATCTCAGTCAGAGTGTGAGTGGTGAGGAAGGAGGTTGTGTTGGAGGATCAGCTGTGTCCTGATGATCCAGAGAGGTTGAAGCAGCAGCATCAGCTCTGACTGGGCCATGTTACTGGGAGGTAGAGTGGAGAGGAGAGCTTCATCCAGCAGTGACTGACAGAGGAATCACAACCAGTGGAGATGACTCTCAGTGCTGCAGTCTGAACTGCTCTGAGATCAGCTCCACTGTCAGACAAAATCCTAATATTCCAGATAGTTGTATAAAATGTGGAACAGAAAAAGGAACCATGTTTCATTGCATTTAGAAGTGTAAACACAGGTTTTTAGGAAACGAATATTGGACACAATCTCCAACATTATCCACAAAGACACACCTTTAGATCCAGAGCTTTACCTGATTCCAGCAGCACTGAGAACTGATGAAAGTAAGTTGGTAAATTTTTTGTCTAATTCAAGCAAAGCGTCTTATAGTTATATACTATAGGTAGATACTGCAAATACTTTTAAATTTAACACAATTTAAAAGAAAAAGTCACATTTTCTATAAAGTATGGGATTAATTTCTTACATGTGGAATCAAGACCTGAAAACTTTTCCTTAAATCTGAAATCTGAGATACATTTATCAACTAAGACTGACTGACACTCTTTTTTGTTTTCTCCTTTAAGTTATGTTGTTCTCTTTATGGTATATAGGTATATGTGTGTTTGTATTGAAGTTATTATCTACACTGATGGCTCTGAGCTCATGGATGAGTGAGTGGGGGGGGGGCAAGGGGGGTCTAAATGATTGAAACTTATTTTGAAAAGTATCATGTTATATTCAAAATCAATAAAGATATGTGATAGACAAACTCAGATATAAGGACAAACTTGAACAACATTCAGCAATATGAACACCAACTTACAGCGAACAATAATAAATCCAACATACAGTCACACACAGACCCCGCCTCATTCACCAGATCTCAACACTTTTTATGCCGACAAGTACAAGAGACCTCTGAGGACCTTTACTACTGCAGACACTCCCAACAAACAGCAGGAACAGGAAGCACATGGTCCAGATACACAGCTGAGGCTGGTTGGTACCCCTCCAACATCCACAGAGAACTGAGCTCCAGGTTTTTGTTTCTTTTTCTAAAATGATGGGGCTGTCATTCATGGGTACAAGCTCATACTTTTATTTGCTATTGAATGTGCAATACATTATAAAACTACACTAATAAAGCAGGCCCTCCATCCCTCTTCTTCCATCCCCCAACATGATGTCAAGAACAGGATATATTCCGGACCATGAGATTATTATTGTTGTTTTATTATTTATTCTAGTTGTTTTGTACAAATTAAAACTACCCCTTCATTTACACATAATATATTTGTTATTGTTGTTATTTTTTTGTTTGTAGCAGGTCTCTATGCTACTGTGGGTTCCTTCAGCACACAATCTGACAGCTCTGGTCCGTTGTACCACACAACTTTTATTAAATCGTAGCTGTCACCACAGACAACATACAACAACTTCATAAATCTCTCCCGCTCGCACTGTCCAGGTCCAGCACAATACTGCAATATAAGGAGAGAGTGATTACTCAATGAGTAGCTGCTGTGATCATCAACTCACCTGGCACTGCTCTCACAAGCCTTCCCCACACCTCTCTCTCCTGCAGCTGAGTGTAAACCACACCCAACTCCACAATGTTAAGTATGATGTTTGTAATGGAGACATTTTCAGAATATTGCGCATTCTTGACGTACTTGAACGTTGAAGTGGCCCTCCTGTGAGATACCAGCAGTGGCCCCAAGTCAATCTGAGTTTGAGAGTCCTGTAATAAATAAAATATATGTAGTGCCCCTAATGCTTACCCAAAGGAAGTAATAGTAGAGCAACTAACATCTACCTAGGTCCGAGGTGCGGTGCTTGTAATAATTCGAGTTAATATAGGGATTGAACAGTTGACAGTATTTATTGCCTCAGGCAATCCAACAATATGATCAGCAATTCACATGGAATGAAACTAAAAATAAAAAATCAAATAGAGCTCTTTCAAAAATAATAAAAGAAAATAAATAGTACTTTAAGGAGTCAGGTATTGAGTTCAGAGTTCAAGATTCAGTTCCTGATCCTTGTGCGTGTGTGCACTGATATACTACTACTACCCGGGTAGACTTAAAAGTGTGTACGCAGTCTTAACTGTTCCTGAGTGTGCAAACTAGTCCGATGTCCTCTGTGGATGGTCGTCCAGCAGGCCTCACCGCGTCCCCGACCCTCCACAGTCACTCTGGGCTGGGCTCGCCATCATTGGATCCTCTAGATTCTTTCTGTTAGCTCAAAAACCCAACCTGCACAAGTAGTGCCGAGTATTAAGTTACTCTGTTCTGTTCTTATTTCTAACATGAGACCTCATTAACTTGTTTTCTTAGTTAGTGCATCAATAGCCAATGACTAGAACATACTTTGTTTTTTTTTAATTATCTTTTTATTTATTTTTAACATTTCAGTAACATAACAGAAGAGAAAAAAAATACAAAATAAAATAAATAAATAAAATACAGCAAATTAAATCAAATCAGTCCATGGTCACAGATCACAGTTCATCCTTTGTGAATGTTATGGAAACATGCCAAACCCTGTTATGATATGGTAGTGTCAGAGGTCCATAAGCGGTTCCCATGTCCTTCGGAAGGCATCCCCCTTATTCTTTAGGGCGTATGTGTGTTCTTCCAGTCTTAAAGTTTCATTTAGGATTTGTTTAAACAGATTAAATGATGGGGGTCTTTGTTGATTCGAATTGAGCAAGATGCATTTCTTTGCTATATAAGGCGTTATGATAATCCTCTTCCTGCATGTGGTGTCCAGTGTCCTATCCAATTCCATACCAAAGAGGTACCGTGTTGGTGTAATGTCCAGCGGGGTTTTCACAATCTTAACAGTTAGATCATGTACCGCCTTCCAGAAATGTTTTAGAACATACTTTGTTGACAATGGAATGGATTACCAAATAAAATAGCAACTGGTATTTTAAGCACCAACAAATCTTAATCATGAATTTCTATATACCTCAACACTTGGTATTCTAACATTGACAAATTAATTATTTATCATCACTTTCTATATGCAACATTGTTTTAACTGTTCCATACACCATTTAATATTTTAGACTTTAAACATGAATTTTAATTGGAAGTATTTATGTATTTATCGTGTGCAATTTAATGAACAAAACCAGCTCCAACACAGTGTAGTTGGGTAACAATCATTAAAATATATAAACAGTTTAAAGCTGAATGATTTTAATATTAACACAAAATAAGTGCAATGCACCTTTAATATTTTACCCTGCTATGAGCTGTTCCTTAACCAAACTAACAATTGGCTTAGAAATTACATCAGCACTCCTTCAGCTGCATAATACAATTAAACACATTAACCAAAGCTGGCAATATGTGCTCTTTTCAGTATTAATACAATGATACAGTATGCACCAAAGTGTGTTGAAAACATTAAACAAGAGTCTTATAACTCTGAACTCCCACAGTGTTTTCTCTCATCACTTTGGCTAGCAACAGGCTAGAGTGCAAAATACACTCACAGCAGCTCAAGATATGCAAGTATGTTCTGCACAATAAACAAGCTTTCAGGTTTCAACCTTTCCCTCCCATAACGTGAGCAAACGCGTCTCTGTTTGTTCCATTTATTATTATTTTTTAAGTATATTTTGGGCTTTTATTGCCTTTATGATAGTGACAGCTGACGACAGACAGGAAGGGGGGCAGAGAGAGAGGGGATGACACGCGGCAAAGGGCCACAGGTCGGCTTCGAACCCTGGGCAGCTGCAGCAAGGACTCAGCCTCAGCGCCCTGTTTGTTCCATTTGGTCAAAGTGGTCTCACACATTTCTCCTGCTTTTGTTCTGACAGTATGAGGCTGAAGTGGAAATATCCACTTTTGTGTTTGTTTACCCAGTGGTACACACTGTGTTTAATCTGAGGAGGAGACTTGGCTGTTCTCCAATCAGATTGCAGGTGATCTGTCGCATCAGGACAGAGCCAATCTGCCATCCAGTCAACAAAAAGTCAAGAAGCAGAGAACCGGTTTTAATCAGTCGAGCTGAAAAGAAGAAACTACTGAAGACACGACTCTCTGATTTCACTTTGCGATGACGGAGGAGAAGCTGAAGTCCAAACTCCAA